AATTTCTCGAATAATTATTAATCAAATTTTTATTTCCATTTACATAACATAAATTAGAATATTTTTTGTTGCTAAGTATATTCACTGATCAGGTATTTGTTTGCGTACCATATTTTTTTTTTTTTAATTACGCATACTTCAATAAATTCAATCAAAAATTAATTACCTATGAAAAATTATATATTAATAAATTATAGTTCGATTGAAAAATTATCATAATACAATTCGTCCTTTTTCAGATAAAACAAAAAAAAATAAAAAAGAAAACAAATTCGAAATATCTCAACATTCTTTTTCGCAAGGTATTAAATTACGAAAGATAAATCATTCTCACATCAGTTTAAAAGATTAACAAGTTTTAAAGAAGATTACTTTCGTCAAACTATACTAACACACGTAAAATGAAACGAAGTTAACACATTTTAAAGAATATTCGAATCTTGTGAGAAATTACTTTTAGAAAATATTATTATAATATAATATTTCGTATCTTATTAAAATGGACCTCGTGCTACCGGGGTGGGAGGGTGGAAAGAAGGAAAAAAACTATCTCCTTTACGTCTTTTAGATAAAGATAAAGAGTTAAAGACCATAGAAAGTAGTTTGCACACACAAAGACGAGAGTGCAAAGCGAATGAATCCGTCGGTGACTAGGCAAAAGGGGCAATAGGGAGAATGGGATTTATCGTTGGCGTGAAGGAACAAGAGGAAGAAACGAAGAAAGGTAGTAACGAGAGGTGGCAGAAGAAAGATAGAATGAGAGAAAAAGAGAGAGAGAAAAAGAGAGAGAGAGAGAGAGAGAGAGAGAGAAAATTTCCTTAAATTGCACTTTGTAGCTCCTGAGAGACCTTACACAGAGATTTCGACGCCCACGGCGAGGGATAACGAGGCACTCACTCCCCCCTCTGGGTCCCTCCACCACCACCTCCACCTCCACCTCCTCCTCATCCTCCTCCTCCTCCCTCATATCTCTCTCTCACACACTCTATATTACTCTCTCTCATTCGCTCGGTCCCTTTTTTTCGTGAAGGTGAGACACACGCCGGTGGGTCCTACGTGCGGCCCACGGAGACATAATTGATATCTGGGAAGGAACATAGAGGAGTGAACGGACGACAAAGGTGGTCCCTAAAGTGAGAAAGACGAAGACGAAGACGAAGACGAAAAAATGACCTTTAACGGTATCGAAGCGAGAAGAAAAAAGGATCGGCCCGTGGACCACCGCGGTCGCGCGCGAGAGAATCTCCTGGTTGGCTTTATTTTTCGAATGCCGACAAGAAAAAGAAAGATAAAGATGAAAAGATGGGCACCTAAGCGCCAGGCCAGGCCAGGGCAACGTGCACACGGTCAATTTCTTCCTTCCTTCCTTCCTTCTTTCTTTCTTTCTTTCTTTCTTTCTTTCCTCTTTAACGTTCCCTTCCCTCTAATCCGTAGCTTCCGCGGCCTGTGCAAACATCACGAACCGACCACACCCCTTCCATCCCTCTGGACCTGTACTAATTGCTAATCACCCTATACGATGCCCCGAAGAAACCTTTGCCACTTTCCGTATTTTCTATATCACACATTAACACACACATATATATATATATATATATATATATATATATGCACGGTTATTTGGCTCGTTATTAATTTGTTTTTTTTTTTAAATAAAAATAGGAACGAACAGATTTTGTAAGAATATATGATCTTTATTATTTACCTATACGTCGCGAGAATATTTTTTTATTAGATTATCTTTTTTTCTCTTCAATTTGTTACTCTAATTAATGAGATTTACCAAACTCGATCTGTTTTTTTTTTTTGCGACTCGTTTTAATAATAATTGGTAAACGTTGAAGAATATTTTTGTCGTCATTTCGATCTCGCGAATATCTTTTTCAAGATTTGTTCGATTTTTTAGCTCGCGTTAAAAATGAACAGCATTATAAAGTAGATTTAAAAAAGAAACAAGAAGAGATCCATTATATATATATCGCAAGAATATTTCTATGTATCAAATTATTTGTGATATTTTATTCTTCTACAATTATTTATTCTCATTCATGATAAAATCAGTTGCAATTTTCTATAAACCCCCGATGTTAATTACTAATCGCTGGACCGCATTTTTCGTCACTTTTCGTATTTTCTATCTCACACTTTATACATAGATATTACATTCATTCGTATATCTTCTTCCTTGATTTATTCGATAATTTAATTAGTACAAAATAAACAAACAAAAAAGAAAGGATCTTGCAATAGACAATGACTTTATTATATATATAAAAATCACAACAAAATAATTTTCTTCTAATTCGAATATAGGTGTCGCGAATATCGATCTTATACTTCTTCAATTATTAACACGCTACGGATTAATGAAAATATTTCAGTATTCAACAGTTAACGTTGAAATACATCTACAAAAGCGAATCCCACTTTCCATTTGCAAAATGGTGTTGCAAAATCGTAATCCGTCGTTCACTTCTGGCGACGTAAACGGAGTCAGAAGTGCGCACGTAGTGTACGACCAGGACGCGTGATAAACGAGATTACCGTTTTATTCGCTATCGTGACGAGATAATAAGTATGCAGGAGGGTGTAAGGTGCTATGAAATCGCGGCTACGAGGAAATCCAGGTTACCCTCGTTCTCCCGTAAATCATGCTACAGTTAGAGAGAACGCGCGATTGCAATTCCACTCTTTCTCTCTCTCTCTCTCTCTCTCTCTCTCTCTCTCTTTTTTTTTTTTTTTTCATGGAAGTATTCAATTAAAGTTAAAAGAGAAAAGGAAAGGTAGAAAACGTGAAATCGTACAGTATATGTATTACTCTTTCGTCCGATCTTAAGAAGATCGTGTTTGCTTTTGGAAAAAGGATTTCAACGATTTCTTCTTCTTCTTCTTCTTCTCTTCCACCAATACTACTACTACAACTACAACTACTACTACTATTACACTTATATTTTTTTTCCCCCAACCCCACCTTTGGTTCGAAACATTTGCAAAGCCGTCAGAGATTCGACGATAATCTCCAAGTGGATTTCATCTTTTGCCCGTAAAACCGAGCGAGCGACCCGAGGAAAACAGATAAACGGATCAGCCTTTGACAAGTTGGGTTCACCATCGAGGTACGAAGAATGGAACTAGGAGACACGAAAAGAAAGTTTCACGAAAGAGAGAGAGAGAGAGAGAGAGAGAGAGATCAAACAGGTATTTCAAGAATTTTACCGTTCTCGAAATATCGCTAAAACCGAATTACTCTCTCTCTCTCTCTCTCTTTTCTTCAACACAGTCCAATACATTTAAGTAGAACGAATAAATTTATAAATAAGTAAGTATTTATCTTTTCTCGAATAGAGACCAATCGAAACGATCGGAATTCATTGAAAAATACCGACCTTCCTCTGCAACATTTCTTCCATCTCTCTTTCTCCCTGCTCGCTCGATCGCGAGAATATAATAGGAAAGGTAAACCAACTAGCCGCTCTTGCATCGTCAATTAAGCGAAACGTCATCGAAAGGGTCTCCTTTGCCCTTTCCCCCTACCCCCTACCCTCCCAGTCCTCACCCAACTCCCTTTACTTCACGCTTCGTTTAACCCGCGATTGCGGATCATTTCTCGATTTTCCGCCACTCAAACGTCATTTCCGTTCGCCTAGGAGAAATTCAAGGATACACGTAGGGAAACGGGGGAAGGAGGTAAGGGGGGAGGGGCAGCCTAGGATGTAAGGAAATAATAATAAAAAAAAAGAAAAAAAGAGAACAAAAACTTGTCAGCGAGTTTTTGAATCCGAACAATAGATGAGAGGAGAGGCGGCCCCCTTCTACCGTCGTCGCATCGCATTTCCAAACGGCGAGATTATCATTGTCTCGATATTTATCTTCGAGTTTCTGGCCTCGTTTTCGAAAAACCATTGTATCGTGGCTTCTTAAACGACGAATAAACCATACCCTCTGCTCCGCACCCCCTGGAGTTACCCTAACACCGGTACTTTCATAGTTGACAAATAAGCCAACAAAGGAAAACTCTGGAGGCAACCGACGTTGCAGTTGGTCCATTTAACCGCTACTAAACCACTTCGATCGGAATCCCCCTTTTTTTTTTTCTTTTTCTACGAATTCGACTATTTCTCCTTTTACACCGATTTACTTCGTTCCATAGATCTTTTTGAATAACATGCTCGATATATATATGTATGTACAATACAATTGACAAGAATCATGATATTATCATTTAACAACAACAGTAAGCGTTGTTGTTAAACCATTTGTAACATTTCTTACTAATACCTGACTAATTTCAAAAATCTGGAATCACTCGACTTATTATCGGATTATATTTCAGTATATTCTATTTTATGTTTGTATTATTTATTTGGAAATATCGACCAAGCGTTATCAATAATCAGAAACGTCTGAGATAATTAAAGAGTTCAAATTTATTGATGATTTTATTATATTTGTTTAGCAAGATCGAATTTTATTAAACAAAAATTACATTTTTATTTCATTCAAATGTTCTAGCCATACCGTTTTGATGACATCAAATATTTTGATACTAATCAAATCGAAATATATTTGTATCAAATTTGAGAATATATAATTATTTTCAAGATATAGTAAATATATATAAATATTATAAAACATCGATAAAAAAGAATTTGACTTTGATCAATCGAGCAGAGTTTCGAAATAACTTTCGAACGGTTAAATAGGCAGCAGCACCGTCTGTGCAACGGTAAACGTGCTCTTAGGATAATTCTAAAATCCTAAATTACCACAAACTTAAAATATAGAATCGAATAAATGGTAACATCATTTCTAATCATTTATCATGCCTAAAATCTGCTTATTCATTAACCACGATTTAATTATTTGTTTAATATTATATTAAGCGCCATTATCGTAGACCGTGCAATCCAGAAATTATATTTGTATAAGAAAAAATAATAATAATAATAAGATACGAAAAATGATAATAAATATTTGAACTGAAAAAATATCACACTCACCACATTAACAAAGTCCTGAAAGGTAATCGCGTCGACCTTGGATTCTTTTGCTCTAACGAGCAGGATATCTCTCTTGTTAGCTGGTATTTCCGTTTTCCATTCGGCACTTTTTAACGCTACCAAAAAGTCCTCCAATGGTATCTCTCCGAAACCCTCAGGATCGAACTAATTACAAATGCGCATATCGCATTTAATCATATTTCTATATATTTTCATCAAATTATCTTTTCATAAATTAAATTGGATATATATATATATCTAAGTAAGCATCGTACCTTGTCGAACAGCATCCGCCATTTCTGAAAAAGAAAAAAATTAAATAACGAGGTAGGACACTACGGAATACGTTTCGGGTCAACGATTATAGAAACCGATTATAACATTTATGAACACGATTATACACAATATAAAGCAGCCAAAAATATTTTGTGAGAATCGTATTGATCTGAAATGTTAAAGGATAAAAGGTAGGAGAGAGTAAAGAAGGCTCCCCCTTTTATATCGAGCATCTATACGGAAAAGTTTACATTGAGAGAAAATCCGCCTTTGAAAACGATAATCCGCTCATTCGTCCTGGTTCTCGTATATACACGAAAGAAGAAGAAGAAGAAGAAGAAGAAAGCAAAGTTATCCTATTCGAATTCTGGAAAATTGGCTCGATAGCGAAAGACACCTGTCGCAAAAACATTTTTTCCCGACATTCCAAACTCTCGAATACGTGCCAAGATGCAAGGACGAAGGATTGCTGTCTCCACTCTTCCTCCCTCCCTCTCCAAACAACCCTCCGTACACCCTTAATTCTTCTCTCTCTCTCTTTCTTCCCATGACTGATGGAATATTTCTTGACAGTTTATATGGGTCAAAAGGTTCCTTCTTTCCCAATCGAGAATAGATCGCATATATCAAAGAAAACATGTAACTTGATCGAATGATTTCGTATGTAAAACTTATTATACAAATAACAAAAAATCCATACGTTTTTAGCTAATTATAGGTATAGCAATTCGTTCGATACTTTTTAAACAAAAATTAAATATTGATTTATAAAATAATCGTACGTCTCTCTTATTCTTCAAAATATTTATCATTATTTCCGATAACATCGAAAAAAGTCTAACGTAAAATTCGAATGGAGTAAATATTGAATATCGAGACACCGAATTAATTATTCAGCATTATAATAAATAGGCAAAGAAAGAAAAACAAAATTGTTCAAAGGATGAGAAAATGTGATTGTGCATGCTTACATCGTTGAGTAGTTCTCTTCTATACTCGGATTCGTCGATATCGATCTCAGAAGCGAGATCGGTATGATCGGTGACGTATCCATCATAGTGCGCGCTGTTAGCTTCGCTACGCGCATAATCTTCCTCCTCGACGGCACCGGCGATGGTCGGTATCGAGGCACCGCTTGCCAGTAGCATTACCGCGCGTGGCACAACGTCACCGGACGAATCTCCTCATTCCTCCCTCTTCCGTCTTTTTTCTGAAACGTTTAAGCAATAATATATACCCTCTGAAAACAAAAATTCCAACAAAAAATCTACAATATTAATTAAACGCCATTGTAAAAAGGTTGAACATCCCAATCCTCTGGATTTTCATATTATTTCTTTTTCTTTTTTTATTAAATATCGATAAGGAAACATATTAATATCTTCTTTATTGGCGTAAATAATAATAATAATAATAAGACTAAACCACATTGTTGTTCTCTTCCTAGATAACGGAATTTTATTAACATTTTAGAAAACTACAATTATCTCTTAGGAGTTTATATATTATTAAACATTTTGTCGTGTTGATAATGAATTCACGACGCAGTAATTGTTTTAAAATGAATGTAAATTAATTCTAATTAATTTGAAGAAATATAGAACGTTTGTGTTTGATCAATTCCAACGATAACATCGATCGGTCGCGTTCTTCTTAGGGCTGGTTAGAGCAATGCCCTTGAAACAAACCAAGTACTTACTAGAATATACTAGGGTGCAGATCGCGTTATACTAGTAAGTGCGATGGCGCCGTTTCCATGGCGATTCATCGACTCTGCTTGTGTCTGGAAGGAACGAGATACGTCGTCTATTTGCCCACCTCTCTTTTTTCTTTTTCCTCTGTATTTCTGTCTCTTTAGCGATAGTTCGACCTCTCGACCAATAAAAATCAAGGATTAAGTTGACAATCAAAGGAGGACACCCGAGGGTAAAAGCGTACACCATCATCCCTCGCGTATGTGAAACTACTTTTTCTTCAAATAATTCCAATCGTTATGATTCAACAAAAGAAACATCTCAAATTCAATATGTGTTTTCTTGTTTAATCCTTACAAGTAGAGATTAAACGAATCGATTGAATTAGTTCAAAAATGTAAGCTCTAGATTGCCTTAAGAAGAAAAAAAACCGATTGTATAATCCAAATGATCAGGAAAGAAAAAAGGATGTAAAATCCTACAGAAACAGGGTAAACGACACGGACCCTAACACGCAATGCATTCAGCGCAGTCTCCTAAATCCCGCAGTAAAGGGACTCCCCTCTTCGCGCCATTTTCTTTGCTCCTTTCGCTTGCTCGGCACCCTTCAATTCGGTGCAACGTCATTGCGGACCCACGGAGACTCACCCTTCGATTCGACTCGACTACAACTCGACGTCGTCATAGTCGTCTCCATCCCGCAGCGATCGTGGTTTCACCCGCTTCTCTCCCTTTGCTGGCTTTTCTTTCTCCCTTCCCCTTTTTTCTTCTTCTTCACACTACTTCCACTTTGTCTACTTTCCTCCTACTTGCTCCCGTATATATATATATATATATATATATTTACTTACATACGTAAGTACACACATCAGCCGCATTGTTAGCTCGCGTAGACCGTTAACTAGAGTAGGATAATCTTACAAAACGATGACATCATTTTAACACAATCCAACTATACTATTATATACATGCATAACATGCATCTAGATAGTATTCTTAATTTCATTTGTTAATTTTCTCGCCAAGTGAAATCAGAAGAAGAAACGTAAGAAAACGTGGAGGACGTTAACCCGCGACGTCTTAAGGTCGTTGACCTTGAAGAACGTTCAACGTCGGACAGGTATCGTTACGGAAGGTGCTTCGTCTAACACCCTCGCCTGTATCTACTTACGTCGGAGCCACCCTAGTATGAGCGTTATGTTACGCCTCGTGAACCACCGCCTTGTCTTTTGGATTCTTTTTTTGCTTTTTTTATGAACGAAACCTCCTACGGGTTTGTATCTACGACGAGAGATACTAGATATGCTTACACGTGTATATATATATATATATATATATATGTTAGAAGACGACGAACCTTCCGTAACCGTGACACGCGCGCGCGTAACAGACCGAACAAGATAGAGAAAACAAGAAAACGAGGCTACGGTGCGCTGGAGCGTTACTTGAGGACGGATCGCACGCGACTTAAACTTATACGAACATCGCACGAGATCTACAATATCTCTTTTGATTTATATATTGAACAAAAATAATTATTTATTAAATTGATTTTGCATTTTACCGAAACTACTTGTCCCTCTGTTCCTCTTTTTAATATAATAAAAATAATCATATTATTAAACGAGTTCTCTGTTAACAGAAGAGACCATACCGGTTGCAACATAATATTTGTAAGTACATTGTATTTTTTCTTATTATTGTACGAGAGACAAGATGTATTTTATTTATTTTTTATTTTCTTTCTTTTACTTACTATTAGTTCGACAAAAAAAAACGAATTAGTTAACGCAGATAACCTTTAAAGAATAAAATAATTGTAACTCACCTGTTACGAGGAATCTTTCTTCTCAGCACGAATGTGATCCGGTACATAGATAAAATTTAATTGCATCAACATGATCTCGACATGATTTAGAAATAACAATGTTCGAACTTATTTTAATTTTCGATGAATAATCACGTGAAAATTAATTCTCAAAAGCACACACACGCACGCACGCGCAACTCGTTAGTTCGCGAGACGAGAATAGGATTCTCAACGCGCCACGGTTTTGGCGGGAGAAAGAACGACTCTCATTGGCCATTCGTGCTTCCTTTGAAAATGATCGATCTATCGCGAACTTAACTCGATTGTAGATCCTATGTTTGCTCAGAGTTATACAAAAATACGAATGTAAATCATCTCTAAAATATGTTACCAAAAGAGATAATCGGTTAAAAAATCATCCGCGAATATACGAATAATAATCAAAATTAATGGAAATATCTTTTTCGTTTCTAATAGAAATCAATCAAGTTAACCTTCCGAACAAGTCTTTGATTTTCGATTGAAATTCCGTGGATGATTTTGTTAAACGCGACGATACGTTCGAATTAATGAAAACTCGTGGTAGATAATAATAAGAGAGTCGTGTGGTCCTTGTGTTTTCTATGGCGATAGCATCGAAAATTGTGAGGGTGGAGGTGGTAGGCGCCATGCGGAACTGCGGCAACGTGCTGCGCGGTACATTTCGATCGATAAGAGACGAGTTTTACCGCGGCGTGCTCGACCGATCACGGTGAGGCGTCACGTGCTGCCTTGCTAGCTTTATTCCTCGCGTCTTTTAATATATAGAAGAGTATTTACTAGAGGACAACAAATACAATGGTAAAGAACAAAATCGAAGCTAAGGTGCTAGAAGTCTGAGGGCTGAGGTTGAAGAGCCAAGAGCCAAAAGACAAAAAAACTAGCACGACGAGAGGAAACGTTGGATCGGCAAACTCGTAACTAATGTTTAGTTAGTTTGCCGAATCCCCAGTATTATAGCGACGTCGTCGATGGAAAACGCGTGACGCGACTGACGAGGGCGGCAAAGCCCTCGTCCGCTGACCCACCATCCCCCTCTTTCAACCCTACACTGCCACCCCCTAACAACATCCTCCTACCCCTCAGCCAATTCGTTTCACTCCCCCACCTTTTCTCCCACGCGACAAGCGTATACTCGAACGTTTACGCGCGTCCATACTTTTGCATCTATTCCCTCATGTTTATCGATGAACCATTTTTCTTTTCTTTTGGCTTTTCTTTTCTTTCTATTTTCCATCCTTGATACGTCATCTTGAATAAAGTTTACCTTACTTTTAATATCATTTATGAATGAGATTTATTTAAGTAAATAATTGCGTGTATATGTGTTATATCAGATTAAAATATTGTAACGTCTTATATTTGATTTTTAAGACATATTTGTATTTAATTTTGTGTCTTCGAAAGAAAATGAATTGCGTAAGAGATGCTGTTGACACAGTTACGTCAAATGTCACCTGTCAAAAATTCCCTATCCATTCAGCAGCGCCACGTTACGTTCAACATTCACTATGTAGATATTTTAAGGTTAACTTATAGGTTAAGTTTTTTGGTGTCTCTCCTTTTTCTATCTCTCCATGTCTTTTTCTCTTTCTGTATAAAATTTTGGTTTCAATGTGATGATAAGATTTCGAATGAAGAACGGGAAAAGAGAAAGTATGTCATATTTGCGCGATTGGAGACAAGCATTACGTGCTCCCCACGTTTACCGAGTTGCTAACAGTACTTTTTATATTCAAAGACAATTTTTAGGATTAATATGTCTTTTATTGTGCGTTCCACTACTACTTCTGATTTATCCTTTTTTTAATAATGTCATTTGTACGCCTGTCACTCATCAACCCTTGTCTCAATGTCGGTATTACAAATACAATAAAACATACCCATCTACTTCACCTATCAGAACAGCTAAAGGTATCACTTATAGAATAGCTATGGTCAGTGATTTAGATCATGACTCCAAAATCTTAGATTCTAAAAATACCTGGCATAGTCTTATGAAGACTGGTACTCTATTCTGGAATCCATCTACAAATTATATTTCAATACTCTGGGACGATAGGACTCTTGTGTTATCTTCATCCTTAGCGATGAAAGATAGAGGCATGGAATTGTCTGAGTTGATCACCTTTGATGGTCATTTATTGTCATTCGATGATCGTACTGGGTTAATATATAATATCGAAGACAATCAGGCTTATCCTTGGGTCATCTTATTAGATGGCAATGGCAAAAATCCAAAAGGTAAGATATTTCATTATAACATATGTTACATAAATTAATGTATTTTTTCTTATCTATGTTGTAGGATTTAAGTCTGAGTGGGCAACGGTTAAAGATGAACAGTTGTACGTTGGCAGCATGGGGAAAGAATGGACCACACCGTCTGGAGAATACGAACACAATAATCCTCAGTGGATCAAAATAGTTTCTCCTAGAGGAGAAATTTCCTCTGTAAATTGGATTTCAAATTATAAGAGATTGAGGCAAGCGATTAATATTGAATATCCAGGTAGGCAAATAGTCATAACATAGTAGCGTGAAAGTAATTATTAATAATTGTATTTTCATTAGGGTATATGATACATGAATCAGGAGTATGGAGCGATATACACAAAAGTTGGTTCTTTTTACCAAGAAGATGTTCCAAGGAACGTTACAACGAAACCAAAGATGAGACGATGAGCTGTAATGTTCTATTAATTGCGGATGAAAACTTTTTAGATATTAAGGTACGCACACATTGATATAATGATATTTATATTAGATTTTTATTTTTTAATTATAATGTATTTATTTAAAGAGTCCATTTCATTTGTAGGTTAAAAAGATTGGTGAATTAATTCCTATTAGAGGCTTTTCGAGTTTCAAATTTTTACCAGGAACCGATGACACCATCATAATCGCATTAAAAACGGAGGAATACCAGGGGAAAACGGCCACCTATGTTATGGCATTTTCAATTGATGGTATTATTATAATGCCAGAAGTGAAAGTAACGGATAAGAAATTCGAAGGATTTGAATTTATATGACGATTCCTATGATATTATTAATAGTATTAATTATAAATAAGTGTAAAAAAATCTCTAGAAAATCATTTTATACCAATGCAGGAAAAGAAAACTATTTGACTTGTAACAGTATTTGAAAGTATATTGTCCTACGGCTTGGACAGAGGTACCACTTATGTTTTCATTTATATAGAATAATAGTTAATTCGAGATGATAAAATTCACAATATCTTAAATGCAAATTTTAAAAAATGTAACAGAATTGTAAATATTTTATTGCATTGTAAATATTTGCATACGTACTTATGTATATATACTCATTGAAACAATTTTGTCATTCACGCTTCGTAAGTTAGCAATGAAGTTATAAATTTTTGAAAAAAATATTATTTTTGGGAGGAAACAAATGACGTTAAATTTCTGTAACGTTGAGGGATTTCCAACTGATCGTTATGTACAATTTTATAACTTATCAAATCAAACGAAAACACTCCTTCAATGCCAAAGATAATAACTTTGACGTTTGTTGTCACAGAATAATAATAGCATAAAAAATAAATTTGAATTCTTCGAAAGTTAAACAAAATTTTAATAACCCTTTTCGTTCGTTGGTATTTCTATAACGAAAAAATTCGATCGTTTCCTTTTTACGTGACATAATGGAAAATGTAGCCAGAGGCAAAAGTAACGCGAATGCATTATCGATCACTTTGTCTGCACAAATTCATCAATTTCTTGCATGTTATATTTAAATAATAATACAAATTTTAAATTATCCAACAATATTAATAACGAAAGTGGAAAGCAACCTGTCGTGTTGGTGTTATCAAGGTCGTAATATTTCTAGGATAAAATCAATAAACACCTATATATGAATTCTGAAGAAGTTGGTGGCAGCAGTACTGCGCTCAGAGGGTTTAGTTTACACATCGCGTCACGATGAAAGCTAGTCCTCCCGCCCAGTAGAAAATTTGACTCTTTTTTTCATTTTGATTTCGTTTGTTGATACGATTGAGAACGGTCGCGGTGGTGACTCGATCATCTTTCTTGATGAAAATTCGGTATACTAAAAAAATTTGAAACAAAATTGATCCGACTCTTTCAACAATTCGATTATAAAGTTTGAAGGGACGCGAGAATATTATTTTCACACTTGTAAGTTGTACAAATAAAGAAAAAAAATAATATAAAAAATAAAAATCTAAAGTTAAATTTTATCAGCACCAAAAAAGGAACATTCTAAAAAGAGCCAGTGAACGTTGAATTTCCAACTATTTATCAAGCTTATCTTATCGAAAGACGGCACACTTTTTTCCACCTTGATTTTGCATATCTTTAAACCGCAACCGAATACTTATCCTCAAGCATTTTTCGAGTATACTTACCCGGATGAGGATGACACGACGAGTGTAACGCGCCTGACAACTACGTAACATCCGTGAAGAAGAACCGTTTATTCCATAAAACGTTCGTTTCGTCCTCATTTTCATCAGTTAAAACGTAACATACGTATCTTTAACAAATACGATTACAACAAATCTTTTAGATTTTCACAAAAACGTATCTACTTTTCTTTATATTCGATCGGATAATACAGTGGAATGTTTCGCACGAACGATGAACACGTGTTTGACGTCAAAAGAGGAAGATCACGTTGGCTGATGATCGAATGCGAACTTAGATAAGGGCTGCTTTTTCTTCTTCTTTTTCTAACAAGGAAAAGAAAGAGAGAAAGAGAGGGAGAATGGCATCAAACAAGAACAAAGGATCAACAACGTCGGAATGGAGTATCGCGAGAACTGGGATATCTTTATTGTTAAATAACAAAACAGAGGAAGCTGAGGCATTGTTCACTGGACATCCTCATAGTTTCCACGTTAAAGCGGGTCGTTGTTTCGTCCTTTTCATGGTAAGTACATTTTTTGATTTATTTATATATTTTTTAGATATTGAAATTGTTCGAAAAGGGTAGGCTTGGTACTCGAGAAAGTACGAGATTGATCGTTCAAAGTTTATCGGATTAACGGATAAAGGCTTTATTATATTAACCCGCGTAGCTAAGAGACAAGAAACGCACGCGGTGGCTTCTCTCTTGTTCATCTATATATATGTATTGTACATATATACCCAGTGTTCGTTTTGTTTTAATAATATCTAATTAATACAGACGTAGACCCGATTGTTTTATTTTTGATATTATTTGCCTCACCATGTTACTATATCAACGAAGAAAAATGATACTTTCATAACTTTGATTAATAATCAAAATCGCGTGACGAGGAACCAGTAGAAGTAAGCCCCTAAACTGGGTCAAGTAATACCGAATAACTCGATTTTTCTAGCGTGTAGTTTTAGGTCGCGTTAGATGGCTAGAATGAACTGGTTTTATTTACATAGAATGCATTGATGAGCTTCGAGGATGATAAACTGCAACAAGCCATGCTATTGTTGAGAGACATGGAAAGGGAATGTGCGAACGATATCGGTTGGCTTAAATCTATGAAGAACAGGGTATTTAAGGCAGAGGAAAGCTCTGTGAGTATTCGAGAATAATCAAATAAATTAATTTAATTAATTGTCTTTGTGCTAATGAATATAAAACGATATCGTTAGAAGGAATACGTCGACAAATTGGAGAGGCAGATAGTACTAGCGGATTCGCAAGTTTGCTCAGCAATATTAACACTTCTCCAACAAGAGCTAACCGGTTATGTTCGTGGTGGTTGGATGCTGCGTAAAGCCTGGCGTGTTTACCAGCACACGTATGTGCAAATATCGCAGCTTTATAGGCGTACCTTTGGCAACGTACCATCGGGTATACAAATTATTTTCAATCCGACTAATTTATGAGCCTCGGTATGAGAGAACTCGCACAACGGTACCAGATCGATTTTGACCTATTTCCAAGCTCTTTTAATCATTACGTATTAATCCTTTGAAAAACACGGAAAGGTTGAAGACGTGCTTGTATCCGTTTCCTTTTGGATAAATAATTAATTGATCCTTTTCAATAGGAAATTTTATTTCTCACACAGATTTCGAGGTGAACTGTAGCGTACCAGGGAGAAATGGTTCTTGTTATTCGCTCCAAAGTCCATATAGTCCAGGTTCCTCGGAATGGTCGATTCCATCTTTCAATGGTTCACCTGGCAACTCGACCCCCATCACCTCACCATCAGGTCTGCGAAGCTCCCTATCAATGTTCTTCTCGATCACTGGCATCACGTCCGAACAACAGACACCGTAATTGTTGTTTCTTCTTACAAAATTTATCCTTCTTTTTCACACTACACTCGGTCACTTTATCACAATTTTAACTCGACACTATTTCGCTTTTTTTTTACTCTACGATTAATATTTTCTTTTCATTTCATATTTTTGTTCTCGAATCACTCTCGTCTTTTTCATTTTTCGTAGAACACATTTTTTTTATTTTTTTTTTTTCAATTTTTGTAAATATTTATATTTTCTTTATCGACAACCACGAATACTATCCCATTTAAATTGTATCTATCTAATCGAGGAAAAAGAGATTGTAGGGAAAAAATTGTTTTTTTTTTGTTTTTTGTTTTTCTAAAAAGATAAATATATATATAATATATATATAACGATCGAACGAATAATATTTCTCTTTAGTTTTGTCGAACCATCCGAAGTGACCCGATTGATGTCAGCCGTGAGCTTTGGTTATGGGATTTATCAACTTTGCGTGAGCCTCTTACCACCTTCCCTGTTAAAACTTATTCATTTTTTGGGCTTCGAGGGTGATAGACGAGCTGGTCTTACAGCTCTTATGTATGCTCGTGTTAGTGAGGATATGCGTGCTCCATTAGCAACGTGAGTAATATACATCCAAAAATGATATCTAAAAACATTAACATATTGACCCGGTATAAATAAAAAAATACAAATTTGTAAATAATTTTTCCTACAGATTATCCCTTCTCTGGTATCACACGATAGTGCGACCATTTTTCGCTCTCGACGGTTCCAACGTAAAAGCAGGAGTTAACGCAGCGAAACAATTAATCGAGGAATGTCGCATGGAATTTCAGAATTCTGCTCTTTTTCTCTTCTTCGCAGGCCGAGTGGAACGTCTCGAAGTAATGGATTCTTTTTTAATGACCCTTTAAAAAGCTATCGAGGTTTACCCTTACCTCATCGATAATCATTTCATTGAGAATCACTTAACCGACACAATTTTATCGGCACCCTATTTTATCGAAACATATTTATTCATTAGCAATGTGTGTTTTGATCGACATTCAATTATTAGTAATTTTATTCTGTCATTATAATTATTATGCGTTATACTTGTTACACGTATTGCATCAGATTTACGTTGTTATTCATAATTAAACATTGTTCGTTATCAAAACGTGTCACCGAAATGATTCTTGATGAAATGGCTCTGCCATTGACAATTAAATAAAATTGTACGTTACATTAATTATAGATTAATCATAATGTATTACGTGTTACAGTCGAACGTTAATGCCGCCCTTGAAGCTTACGACAAAGCCGTGGATGCATCGAGTCAAAGAGAAGTGAGATTATTGTGTCTGCATGAGGTTGCCTGGTGTCACCTGATACGTTTGAGTTACGAAGAAGCTTATCGATCTTTGACACAATTACAGCAACAGTCTAGATGGTCGAAAAGTTTCTACGCTTATTTGGCGGCAGGTAATTTCTTTTTATATTACAAATCTCATAGTTACATTTTGATTTAAAAATAAACGTTTTTGACAAATTTGTTCCCAGTCTGTTGCGGATCGAACGGAAAATTTGAAGAATTGATGACGATGTATCGGAAAATAGTTCAATTGGTCGCCGGTACGACAAAGGAAACACAACTTGGCCTTTTTATTTTACGAAGAGCTCCGAAATTGGTTGATCAAGATACAGGTCGAGCTTATACAATTTTATATTACAAATTACTTGTCTACGAGTTATTATACCTTTGGAACGCCATGCCGTCTTGTTCTATTGAAGCATTACGAGGAATTTTGTTAGATTGTAAGGGCAACCGTTCAGAAGAGCCAATGGTTGGATTGGCTGATTTGATCGAAGGTGCAGCTTACTTATATCTTGGTGATAGACAAGCGTCTATCAGAAGTTATAGAAGCTGTTTAAAACGTCGCAATCCGAACAAGGATATGTTTGATCAACACGTAAGCGCGTTTGCCCTTTACGAACTCGGTAGTAGCCTTTGCACCAATGACGTAAGTATATCTAATTAAAAATTAACATAACATTTAAATATTTAACATAATATTATTAACATTTGAAATATTATTAACATTTGAAATATTAATTCGTTACACAGAATATCGAGGAAGGGAAAAATTTCTTATTAAGGGCCCAAACTCAATATAGAGATTACGATTTTGAAAGTAGATTAAACGTACGTATACATTCGGCCTTAAAGGATCTAAATTGACGACAAATAATACGAAATAAACACAATCCATAGCGTACATAAGAATACAAATTTTAGAATTAATTAGATCTGCGTGAATGCACGCTTCGAATCGATCTTTACTTTACAACAAAAAATTCAACCTTTATTTCATTCAAGCACCCGTTTATGTATATTTTATACATAGATAAAAATAAGGTGGACGAATGTGCTAATATTCGCATGGTTCTAGCGATGCCTGTATGCGTTCCACGCGTTTGACTATTATAAATATCTATATGATATACAGGGTGTCTCATCTGAAGGAGGCCACCGAAATATTAGCTTTGCTTTTAAAACACGTTGAATGCCACGTTAATTTTACATGGCTTGGTCGTGGCGCCAACACGGTATTAATTATTATATTAAATTGAAATATTATTTAGAACATATGAGTTTAAATGTGCAATCGTGTGCAACGCATTTATTTTACTTCGGGACATAATTGGTGACTATCGTCGCACTGAAATGCATTTCTTTGTTTTTTCTCAATAAACAAATTGCCGATATGGTGAAATTGAGAATTGCCTTTTTTCACGTGCGAGCCTATCGAGAAAAACATACCATACAATCAAATATTTACATTTCCGGAAAAGTCAGGATCACACGACGATTTTGTAAAATATGTTACCAACAAAAAATATTATATACTTTATATTTAAAATCAAAGGCAAAAAAACTGTATCAAATAAGTTGTGAAATATTGTTGTTTACCTTTCCTTTATTTGAAGTGTTTTAATATGACAGATACAATATGCGTGCATACGTGTTATATGTATAAATAAAACTATTTTCTTATGTTCTATACTGCATTAATTTCTTTACACCATTGTAATATAATATTGAAAGATCTGAATCCATTGAAATTTACTCGAAATATGTGTTTCTAGTAATCTTGGTTTCATCGATCACCGGTGACCACACGAACAAACAAAATTTCGAACACCGGTGATGATGACTCCAATGGCATTCAACGTGTTAAATAAAATGAATAATTTACAAAATCAGAGAGAAAATTATTGAAAATTATTATATATATATATATCGTGATTTAAGTAATTTATACAAATTTTCGATCAAGCGATTGTACCTTATTTTTTTACAAAAATTTCATATGACGTTTAGCGGAACACCATGACTGCGCTCGATCTTTGACAATATTCAACGAAACGGCTTTGTCCTTATAGCGTTATTTATTATGTAATATTTATTATTATTATTATTATTATGGTATCTATCAGATGAGCGTTCGAAACGCTTATTGCTGTGTCAACGGAGGAAATTGTCAAGCCAATGTCGCGAATCCTTGCCTACGTCCTTCCTGGTATCAAAAATTCATAAAACCGCTTGTTTATTTTATCATAACCTCGCTATTAGGTACGTAAACGATTTATTAATCGTTACTTTTTCAAAACTTTTTCTAAAATTTCTTTTTATATTTTTTACTTTCCCATAAATTAGCTATGTCGGTGTCTCATCTTTGTGATAAATATTCCGCAAGTTCGTCCTTCAAAATCATCAAATCTGATTTGGGAAATTTACGAAGACATTTAAATACACTTTCGGTAGAAAATTTTAACAATAATATTAATCATAATTTTAATAACATTTAATTCTCATTAAAATACTTATTATCGTTTGTTTATTTTAACGAGATGGAAGTGAAAAATGTCTTAGAGACTCGCGACAATTTGCAAAGCAAGCTTAAAGAGGTTGGATTCGCGATACCAAAGATATCGGAGGCCATACTTAAATTGAGAGACGAGGTGACCGAGGGTAAGAAAGGTGCGCTAAATTACGTGAAAAAACGATTATAATGTTTATCCCGATTACTTTTTATTTTTCATTGCTATAGGAATCGGCATACATACGGAGAATATGTTGAAAGCTTTTTCTCCAGAAAGTGTCAGAAAAATAATTCAAAGCGAATTACAAACGTACGACGCTGATAAAACTGGAATGACGGATTATGCTCTGGAAACTTTAGGTTCTTCGAAACTATTTAACTTTCAAACAAAACACAAAATTCTATTGTCAAGTTAATAATTATATTGATAGATTCTATATAATAATTTATATTAACAGGTGGTTCTATACTTTCCATAAGAGATACCAAAACCTATGCGATGGGTTCTCCAGTTTGGACACTTTTTGGTATTCCCATTTGTATTCCACATAATACCCCAAGAGCTGTGATACAGGTTGCTACGATTATTTATTTTCTTAAGTATACTTTACACGATCAGTAATAATGACTCTACACTATCAATAACATTACCCTGATCATTCCTTTTTATTATTCACTTATTTAATATATCATTTCATCTTCGCGCAATTATTATATGATCCAAAATATTATCATTAATATTGGTCTTATAAAGTACGCTTTATATTTTCACATTCGGTTAGATTTAATCAAAAATAAATAGAACATTTTGCCTTTATTTAAAATTTAAATTCGAAAATGAAAATGTACATAAAAGATTTATCTTACAATTAGTTAAAACAATCTTCGCCAATGCTTTGATATAACTCAGGTAAGTATCTGTACGTTTTTTTTTTTTTTTCCCAGACTATTTCAAATAGACTAATTTTTATTTTCTTCCGACAATTTTTTCTTAGCAACTATCATAGCAAACTACCAAGTCATTTAAAACGGTAAATGTATAAAGGAAATGTTCTGATTGTTTGTTGTACGTATGAATGTTTGTCTGTGTGTATTCATTACGTTGTGTATACACTCTTACCTTGTGACGGCTTCTTGATTTCGTATGCACCAGATAGGTGTCCTTCCTGGAGAATGTTGGGCTTTCAAGGGTTCCAGTGGGACCGTTGTTATACAACTACTAGGACCAGTGTACATATCCGGTGTTAGCCTCGAGCACATTTCCCCTTCTATATCACCAACCGGCGAGACAACTACTGCTCCTAAGGAGTTTTCTGTTTGGGTAAAACGTATCTTTCGTTTGTTAATTATTTTGATTTTTTTTTTTTGTTTATTAACGATTCTCTATATCCATTTTAGGGCTTGGAATGCTTAGAAGATACGAATGGTTTTTTATTTGGCGAATTTACCTATGACAATACCGGTTTTTCCATACAGTACTTTGAAGTCCAAGTAAATTGATTTTTAACACTTTATCTGATGATATCATGATTTTTATATTTTACTTTTTAATTTGAGAAAAAAAAAATGGGGTAAAGAAAATATTTAAAAATATTATATGTTTCGATATTAGAGAGAAGAATAATTTGACGTAAAAAAAAATATTCAATTAGACATTATTTGTAAATAAAATGTTGATATATGATTGCGTACGATAAACATTGGATAATTAATTGTCGTCATTTCTTTTTAGAATAAAGCGAAGAAAGCATACGAGATCGTAGAAGTGAAGATACATTCGAATAATGGCAATCGCGATTACACCTGCGTTTATAGGATACGAGTTCACGGTACTCTTAGGCAATAAATTAAACTAATCTATTAGACTCACTTCAAATTATAATANATATATATATATATATATATCTCTATTTTTAATTTATACTTAAATATAATATATATATATACGTATACGAATAGAGAAATTGAATTTTAATAATAAGATAATATAAAATGAAAACAAACAAATGACACACTTTGCGAATTTTGATTCAACGTAATCGTCGCTTTTAATTTATTACATTTGTACATATTTAGTTTCCTTCTACGCAATTAACGCACCCTCTCGATACCACGATTTTTCTTTTTCACTCACACATTCATTCGCTCTCATAAACATTCTCACTTTCTTTCTCTCTCTCTCTCTCTCTCTATCTCTCTCTCTCTCTTTCTCTTCTAACTTTTTTGAAATTCAGGCCAAGGCCAAAGAAGCATGTCGGATCATCATTATAATAATAATCATCATCATCATCATCATCATCGTCGTAGTCGTCGTCATTCTTTTTATTTCACGACTAACGTTCACAGATATACGCATACACGCGTTCACAGATCATTCACAAACACATTTGTAACTTTGATATAAGCATTTATGTATGTATGGAAATAAGTTAAATACACGAACTTATACGAACTTATTCGCATACATAGACAAACGCGTATATTATTTATTGAATCAATCAGGCAAACAAGAAAGGACGCTTCTTTATTGGCAGCCCTACAGGACTACACGCAATATATTTTTTTTTTTTTACTTCTTCTTCTTCTTCTTCTTTTTCTTTTTTTTTTTTTTCTTTTTTTTTTTTTTTTTTTTTTTTTTTTTTTTTTTTTTCYTTTTTTTTTTTTTTTTTTTTTTTTATTTAATTTTGTTTTAACCTGTACTGTAATTAAAATAGCACGACATATTTACCGGCCTACGGTAACGGCCGGTGACTTTTCTTTATTCATCTTCATCTTCATCTTCATCTTCTACTTCTTTTGCTTCTTCATATATATATATGTATATATATATATATTTTTTTTTACATTTTTTCTTTTTTTTTTCTTTTTCATTTAATTTATTATTTGCTTAAATCATTTTTGTTATTTGTTGTTATTTGTAGCTGTTTTTGTTGTTATTGTTGTTGTTGTTGTTGTTGTTGTTGCTGCTTAGACACTTTAATAGTTCGACGATTACGCACTGCCTTCTTTTCTACGGGCGAAGAACAGACTCGAAGAGACACGCGGCGAAAAAGTTTTAACATCTTTACGTTTCTCTCTTTTCTTTTCATTTTTTTTTCTTTTTTTTTTTTTTTTTTCATATTTTCGTCTATGTTTCTTCTTTCTTTCCTTTTTCTTTTTCTTTTTTTTTGTTGCATTTCATTCTTTCAATCAGCCCCTTTTAATTCCCCTTCATCAATTTTTTGTTTCTTTCCTATGGTAACCATTCTTTTTTTTTTTGACGATAAAACATTTACGATCAAAACCCACCTTCTCCCTTAACCTCCCCCCCCCCTAGCCCCATAGTTTTCCCGTTTGAATGTTATCGGTTTTTTATCTCGTTTATGAATCCACAGTGCGACTAGAATAACTATAATTCGGAAGTCAGTCGCCTAATAAACGCTATCGAGCTATCGAGACTCGGTCATGGTGCCAGAGAAACGATGATGACGCAACGGTGGTACGAACATATATATTATCTCTTATTTTATTATTTTATTTTATTTTATTTTATTTTATTTTTATTTTATTTTATTTTATTTTACTTTATATTTTATTTTATTTTATTTTATTTTATTTTTCTCTTCTTTCTTTTCATTCTTTTTTACTTTTTGTTTATTTGTTTGTTTTCTATTTGCATTATATTATTATTCTTTGTACGTTCTCGTGAAAATGGGAAAGCACCGAGAACGCTAGCTAATCCCACGAGAAACGTTCGATTGTCTTTGTCGAGTATTGCGAGAAGGAAAATGTGGGATTTTATCGAGTAAACGCAAAATATTTCGTTTAAAAACTAATTGTCTTTTAGAAAAAAGAAGACAAAATTAACAATGATTATTCGAGAAGAAAAAGAGAACAATTTTTCTTACAAGCCCTTCGATGCTCGAAATTACCTTAGTGACAAGTTTGAAACGTTATCGATCAGAGTTGTCGAATATTTTTGTTCAAATATGAATGAATTTAATTGACGATGACCTAACCATTATTTTAATGTTATTCCAAAGATATAGAAGTATGCGTTTATGTTGATTTCAATCGCGATCATCGAAGGACACCCCATACTCGATTATTTCCCACTATCGTACAAAACGTGATACAAAACTATTCATTACAAAAAAATATCTTTACAAATTAAATAATAATAATAATAATAATAATAATAATAATAATAATAATAATAAAAGAGAACGCATCACGCGTTCGTACCATCGTCTGCATTTCGATATACACGAGTATATAAGTATCTAAATACATACTCTGTTCAAATCGTCTAATGAACATCAATAAACACGAGAGTCTTAAATTTAAACCCTCCCCCCCCCC